TTACCTTGATCAAAAACGAGTGGAGCAGTTAATTGGGAACACGGAGAGTCGAGGTTAAATACCCAACTTGTGAAGCGGTTCCCAAAGTCCAAAAAGAGATTTTATTCTCCGAAGATTCAGGCCGTTGGATGGCAACCATTTCGAGTAAAATCTCAAAAAGAATGGGGATCTAAGGGTGCTCGCGAAGCACAAAACGTAGTAATAAAATCTGCATCGTTTATTTCAAATTTTAAAAATTTTTCAAAAGATTTAAGTATATCCGCAAATACGAAACGATAGAGCTTCACCGCCTATTAAGCTTGATATTCGTTTAATGGGCTGGGGAGCAATCGTGGGAGCTAGATTTCTTATAATTGGGTTAAGTCCACAAAGCTTAAAAAAAATATACAAAATAATTGGAGTTATACAGGATAAATCCATTAAATAAATTATATTTTGAATAATTGGAGTTAAGCCAGAAAAATATCGGCCTAAAATACAAGATCCAGCCCAGCCCATTTCTCTCCTTCTGAAAACCCTAATTTTCTTTCCTTTCATCTCTAACCTCTCTGTGTTTGTCTCTCTGTTTTGTTCTACGAACAGAGAATGATAAGGTAAACTTCAAATCCGCGTGAATTTCACCTTGTAATAACGGGAAAAAGGAGGTCTCAGGTACTCAAAGAACAGCTTCTTCATCTGGCACTCTCATTTTTATTTTTGATTCTTCTACTCTTGAATGTTGAGCAAAATGATCTTTGATCGAGAACCTTAATAAACTGAGAAATTCTGCTTTTTTTTATTTGAAAAAAAAATCCCGGGTTTTTTTTTTCTGGGATGTGTTCTTATGGATAATTCGATTGATCAACTAATGATAAATTTGGTTTAGGTGGATGTTTATTTTGATCTTAACTTTTGACGATTTCGCTTGATAATTGCAAGATGTTCTTTGTTCTCGCGAGATTTGATTAAAGTATCGATTTTTACAGATTCGATTCATCATTCTGATTTGTTTGGTTTCGATCCATGTTCTGAAATTCTGATCCTTGATTCATGATCTAATCTGGAATTGTTCGTCGATTTTTGGGTTTTAGCTGGAAAATATGGCGACAAATGCTTGCGATGTGAATCAGCTCGATTCAGCAGATTCGCTTCTACCTCCAAGGAAGCTATTACTCGCCGGATTCAAGAAACAGAACTCGAAAACCACCGGAAATGGATCTTCTTCTTCTCCGAGCCCTCCTCTTCCTTGTTTCGCTTCTTCCTCCTCTACTTCATACTCAAACGGATCCTCCTCTGCTTCAACAGATGTGCAGACCCATCTCGACAATCTCTTGACTTGCCAGCTCAACGATGACCATAACCGATCTCCGGAAGAGCTAGCTCAGGCGTCGAAAGCAACCGCTGCTTTAGCGATTAAGGTCGCAAAGGCGGCGAGAGCCACCGCTAATGAGAAAGCGATCAGTGCTTCAAAGGCAGTAGCTGCGGCCAAGAGTGCTTTGGAACTGTTCGCTTCTTTTCCGGCGGCTGAGACGACGACGACGATGGTGAAGGAGAGGTCTCCGAGGAAAAGAGTTTGAAGCTTGGCAAGCTGATAAAAAGGTTTAAAGATTGTTCAAGAATCGTTGGTTCAGGCTGCGTTGTGGCTCGTGATGACAAGGAGAGGCTTTTCACATGAACTAGGAGCTTTGGTCGAGATTTTACCTTGAAGTCAGACAAGAAAGCTCCTACAAGGATTGTGGTTTTAAGACCTGGTATTCAGAGAGTGTATGATTACGAAGATTCGTTAACTACTTCTTCAGGGACGACCATTGAAGGAAGCAGAGGAAGCAGCATTGAAGAGTTTCTTGAGGAAGTCAAGGAGAGGTTGAAAGGTGAGCTTCAAGGAAGAGCTCTCAAGAGAAGTTCGTCAGTGAGAGGAAGCGAAATCGAGACTCCTTTCAGCGAAAGACCATTTCCGAGGTCTGAATCGATGAGATCATATGCAGCGAGCGAGGTTCAGTGCAATGCACCAGACTCTCCTCAAGAGTTTATAAGTAGAGATACAAGAAGGCTTTTGGCAGAGAGACTTAGGAACGTTTTGAGAAAAGAGATGAGTCCTTCAGATGATTCTGCGATCAAATGTAGCTGTTTGCGACCTACTGTATCGGATGCAGAGAGCTTGCGGAAACAAACTGTTGAAATCGATGAAGAAGACACGAGAACAAACAGAAACATTCCTAAGAAAGATTCTTCATCACCAAGGAATCTCAAAAGATCACTATCTGCTCCTGTCTCAGGGACATCATTTGGTAAGCTTCTGTTAGAGGATCGGCATGTTTTGACAGGCGCGCAGATCATGAGATAGCACGATGCTGTAATAGCAGAACGAGAAGAGACAGAAGCAGAAATAGAACCAATCAGGAGGAAAGAAAGATTATCTCAGAAGAGTTCTGGAGAAATGTTGATTATCTCAGCCAGATTTCGACACCGGATGTGACTGTATCGGATGAGAACGGTATGCCTCAAGTCTTCAGAGACATCAGTTCCAATCTAAGTGGTAAGAAAACAAAACAAAGTTTTCTCCTTTTTTCTTGAAATGTTCAACACACTTCTTGAAGTGTTTCTCATTCTCTGTTTCTGCTGAATTCAGAACTAAGAAGGCAGATAAATGAGCTTGACTCCGACATACAAGTGCCAACGCCTGTGGAAGAAGAAGCGATGGCTCGAGAGACTGAGAACATTGTTGATTTAGGAAATCCAGATAAAGTATTTGTTAGAGATCTTCCTGTGGCTTCTGGTTTGTATGAAGGGACTACTGATAGATCATTGTCTAGATTCGATCCATATGCAAAGCTTATAAACAAGTCTGTTCTTGAAGAAATAAAAGAGAATCTCAAGGAGAGAAGCAATCAGAATCAAGAAGACGAAGACAGCAAAGAGAGTAGTAGAAGTGAAGATAATCATAATATACTTGTTTGATCTTTTGAACGAAGTACTTACGGTGGTGCTTGGACCATTGACAAAGTCAGGTTTCAAGAAGAGATTTATAAGCTCTTGTGTATCTGAGTCAACGGCTATACGAGGTAAATATCTGTTGGAATCAACTTGGAGGATCATGTCGGAGTATTTATATTCTCAGCCAGAGAAACCCTTTTGTTCATTGGATGGGATCATTGGTTGGGACTTGGAGAGGTGTCCATGGAGTGGTTTGATTGGTGAAGAAGTTAATGTGTTGGGGAGAGAAGTTGAAGGTATGATCATGGCGGATCTTGTTGAGGAAGTTGTTAAGGATCTAAGAACACAAATGGTTTAAAGATCAAGAGTTAAGATATTGAAGCAGAGCTGATTGGTTTGGTTAATGTGATTGGTTTTTTGGTATGTTTCTGTAAATAGGGTTTTTCAATGGGGTGTTTTTTTTTTTAAGAGGCGAGTTTCCATTGTACCTGTAAATGTTTACTTGCAGTACAGGGAAGCTAAAATTCTTCTCATTGCTACATATAATTTCTATTTTACTAATACTAAAAGGAGTTTATAATTGTAATGGTGCACACTAATTACAAATCTAAATGGGATTTGACTAACATTGGGCCAAATATGAGCCACTTGGGCCGGATTCATTTAATCTAGTTTAGAAGTGGGTTGAGTTGTCTTTTGGTGAATTAGAACCATCATTTTTGAACATTACCGTTATGTTTCAAAGGTAGTCTTTGAGCTATGACTTTTTTCTCCTAACACATGTGTACATAATTCATTGTATATACTTTGGTTTACTAGTGTACTCCGTCGATAACATTTTGTTTATTGGTCATTGCCGATGTCACATAAATGTGGAATTCGTAACAATAATTTTGCTTTACTAACATTCAATATACTGTATCTCTATGTTTTTGAAATTTTATGGGCAATGGAAATTAGTATGTAGATACATAATAAGTAGCATGGAAAAACATTTTCCTTTAGACACAACTTTGGTATCGGTTTGTGGAGGGAGAGCTTATATTTGATGTCGTAAATTTATCTGTCGTCTTTCTTCTGAAAATCCAAAAGAGTTCCGTTGTGTAACGATATGACTGGCAATGGCATGAATGTAGATATAATCTCTTAAGCTGTGCGATTCTCTAGCATTTCTAACGTAGTTTTTGGATTATTTGAATATGTTTTATCCGTGTTTTGAGGATGTCTTAGTTTATCTTTAAGGTTTGCTTATGTTAAGGCTAGTTCTACAGTTCTAGAGACTTGATAGGTTGTTTTAAATGGAGTTTTTTTTTTTTATATGTTCTTTTGTAATTAATTGTTGGTTTTCATGATTTTCAATGATTTATCTATCTTTCTTTCACCGATTTTATTTCTGAAGAAAGTTTACATTTTCCACTGGACTTTGATTTTTTTTTTTGTTTGCAGTGACCCCTTTTACATATGTATTTTATCTTACATTCCTTCATGTAATCTATTTTGTATACTATTTTAATTTGTATTAAAATTATGGAATTATCATTTTTAACATTCATAAATTGTTAGATATTTTTTTGTCATGTTTTAATATTAAATGACTATTTTACCCTTTTTCTATTTTATCGTGTAGCGTACGCAAACAGTGTTGAATTGTAACAAATTTTATGCGGTAATTAAAATAAAATGTTACAATGCAAAAATACATCTTAAAATGTCTATATCTTAAACAAAGTACTGTACAAATAATTTACAACATATGTCAAATTAAATTTTTTGTTAGCCAAATTAAATTCAAAATGTCTAAATTGTAGATACAGAAAGTCTACGTTTTGTAATAATACTGTAAGTAGCTCCGTTAAAAAAGAAAGAGTAATGACGGCCGTTATTATAGTTAGACGGAATGTAATAGAAAAACGAAAAAAAACTCTGGTTAATTTTCTGTCTCACTTTTGTCATGGAGACAGAGGTAAATGTAAAAGAAACAAAAAAACCGTAAGAAAATTAGCCAAAAAAAAATTAAGAGATAATTAAAATTGATTCGTAGGGTTTACATATAAAAACGAAAATGGATCAGAGATTGGAAACAAACCATCTCCTTCTCTATATTCCCCATTTCTCTCCTTCTGAAAACCCTAATTTTCTTTCCTCTTCATCTCTAACCTCTGTGTTTGTCTCTCTGTTTTGTTCTACGAACAGAGAATGATAAGGTAAACTTCAAATCCGCGTGAATTTCACCTTGTAATAACGGGAAAAAAGGAGGTCTCAGGTACTCAAAGAACAGCTTCTTCATCTGGCACTCTCATTTTTATTTTTGATTCCTCTACTCTTGAATGTTGAGCAAAATGATCTTTGATCGAGAACCTTAATAAACTGAGAAATTCTGCTTTTTTTTTTATATGAAAGAAAATTCCGGGTTTTTTTCTGGGATGTGTTCTTTTGGATAATTCGATTGATCAACTAATGATAAATTTGGTTTTGGTGGATGTTTATTTTAATCTTAACTTTTGACGATTTCGCTAATATTGCAAGATGTTCTTTGTTCTCTCGCGAGATTTGATTAAAGTATCGATTTTTACAGATTCGATTCATCATTCTGATTTGTTTGGTTTCGATCCATGTTCTGAAATTCTGATCCTTGATTCATGATCTAATCTCTAATTGTTCGTCAAATTTTGGGTTTTTAGCTGAAAAAAATGGCGACAAATGCTTGCGATGTGAACCAGCTAGATTCCGCAGATTCGCTTCTACCTCCACGGAAGCGATTACTCGCCGGATTCAAGAAACAGAACTCGAAAACCACCGGAAATGGATCTTCTTCTTCTCCGAGCCCTCCTCTTCCTTGTTTCGCTTCTTCCTCTTCTACTTCATACTCAAACGGATCCTCCTCTGCTTCAACAGATGTGCAGACCCATCTCGACAATCTCTTGACTTGCCAGCTCAACGATGACCATAACCGATCTCCTGAAGAGCTAGCTCAGGCGTCGAAAGCAACCGCTGCTTTAGCGATTAAGGTCGCAAAGGCGGCGAGAGCCACCGCTAATGAGAAAGCCATCATTGCTTCAAAGGCGGTAGCTGCGGCCAAGAGTGCTTTGGAACTGTTCGCTTCTTTTCCGGCGGCTGAGACGACGACAACGACGGTGAAGGAGAGGTCTCCGAGGAAGAGTAAGCAGAAGAAACACGTCCCGGTTCAGCTTCTGTATTCGAAAGGTGTAGCGGACGAGGAGCTAGCGCGTAGGTTGAATCGAGCTATAGACAATTCTCCTAGAGTCTTGACTGGTCACAGAAACAAGAAGCAGAAGAGCGTAGTGACTAGTAGTACTATGTACGATGGGAATGATGTTGCTGGTGTTGTGGATTCAGACAGCTCGAATGACGAGGAAGTAGACAGAACAAGAGTGAATGGGAAGCTGGTCTTGAAGGAGAAAACAGGGGAAGAGAGTAGCTCAATATTGGGGAAAAGAAGAGGAAGAGTGAAGCTAAAGAAGCTACCTTTGAGCATGTGTACCTCTAAAGATCAAGAAATTGAGAATGTTGGCGTGGTCAGTAACCCGCTGGCTCAGCCGGAAGGTTCTAATGGTGGTGGTGTGGCGGCTCAGGTCAGATCATAGCAGGGAAGTGTTTAGGACGAGGATCTAAAAAGTCATGAGAATGTGTGAAGCAAAACAAAGTTGTACGTTCATATCAACTCTTTTACCTAAAAGAGGTAAGAGAGTGCAGCAGAATTCAGGAGCATTGCTATTTTCAGTAGAGTCCCAATGTTGTTTTATTTTACTTCTTGTTTTGCTTTTTTTGGGTAATGTGTCATGAATTTATGTTACTTGTATATTTTGGAATAATAGATACATAGATTTTTATATATATGTTATTGTTGAATCATTTGTATGTGTTTGTTGAACAAGGTCTAGTTATTGGGATTTGTAGATGGAATCGATTTTTTTAATAAAGTAATGACTTTTTGTTGTTTGCTGTGTTTGTTTCTTATGTTTTAAGACATTTTTTTTTCCAGTGCTAAGGAATAATTTATCTTGTAGATAACTTATGTTCCTTCCTTGTATTTTATCTTTAGTTTCAAAATATAAGTCGTTTAGAAATTAATTTTATTTTGAAATATAAGTTGGTTTCTAATACAAATATTTTTTTAAAAAATCCACTTTTATCCTTATTTTTATAGTTAATTAATTAGTATGAACACAATAAATAATATTTTAATAAAGGATAAAATAAAAAATTAAACTATTTTTTAATCTGTATGCAAAAAATATGAAAGAAATTATATTTTAAAACGGAATATATATATATATATATATATCTCCCAGTTTTTAAAAAGAAAGAACTATACTTCTCTCCAAAATTAAATTGATAATTATGATAAAATCGATAGATTTGAGTGGTAGTTTCACTTAAAAAACGGTTAAAAGTTTTTTTAATGATAGTAAATAAAATGGTAAAAAAAAGAAGTTGAATTAAAACAAATGTGTTATAACACATATCATATATGGACTCTTATACCGGCCCATTAGGCCCATCAGGGCATTGTACTTAACCTAGATTCCCTATGTACTCTATATATACATTCCAGTGATTAATAAAGTTTCTAAGTTTTCACAACACGTTATCAGCACGATAAGACTCTCTGAGCGAAAAACCCTAATAAATTCGGCCACCACCAAAACCCTAAAAGCAAGTCGAAACTTAAAAGACGCATATCTTCCAAACCGTGAGGAACCAGAAGACGATCTACATATCAAATCGAAGCCCTCGACGAGACGAATCTACTGGTGAAAACCGTTTGTCGATCCAACGTCGGACGCGCCCTCACGCACACTTACAGTACACGACGATCAACCGAAAAAAAAAAAACCAGATCCGAGTTTTCCTTCTTCAACCAGCAGCTTCTCCAGTTTTGGTGATCAATCCTTGGAATTTGTAGCGGCTAACTGAGGTCTATTAGCTCCCAGTTTCATTAGCCTGTCAGAAATCCAAAGGTGGAAAAGGTATCTTCTAAAACTGAGAGCCATAGAACCTGTTGTTTAAACACTTCAAAACCCTATAAAAAAAAAAATCGATCTCTAATTGATTGAAAGTGTTTGATACTCTGATGATTGATTGATAACTTGTTGATTGATTGTTTAAATTACAAGTTTATGCATGTTCAAAGGTTTTAAACTCGTTTTATAAAACCCTAATCTACAAAAACCTAACAACCGTTTTTGGCCATGTTTATGGCATAAACCTATTCGATTTTCTTCATGTTTAATAAGCTTGTTGCAGCTTATTTGATTGTTGATTCTCTTGCTTGAAACACTTGATTGAATAAACTAAGAAAATCAACCCTAAATCCTAAGCTTGATTCACGATTTTGTAATTTTCAAAATCGTAAGTCATAATGCTTAAACCCTAGTCCTTTTCACGTGATTTCTTTGTTGTCCTTGTGAAATTATTAAAACCATCGACCACAGATCCTATAGATCTCGAAATCACATCCAAAATATGTTTTCCAAACCGTTAAAACCCTAGATAAAACCCTAATCATATTCGGCTCCCCTAGGGTTCCTCCTAAACCGCCTAAAACCGGCTAAACCTGGTTCTCATTAACCGAAATTATATTCGGCTTTAACCGATTAAATCACAGCTATTAAACCGACATCATGTTCAGGGTAACTAAAACCATACCCTTTTAAAATTTACTATTTCCGAGAAAGTTCCCTCTAATAGAAAGTTTCCTCATATAAAAACTTTCCTCATATAGAAATTTTCCCGGCATAGAAACTTTCCTCATTTAGAAAATTACCCAAATTAGAAACTTTCCAAATTTAGAAACTTTCCTAAAATAGAAATATTCTCAAAATAGAAAGTTTCATCATCAGCATTCAAAATTTTCTCAAAACAATCCCTAACAAAATCAATCTCATGTTTCACATGTCAAACATTCAGAAATGTGAATTCGAGGCCCTTCACGTCTCCGGGGATAACTACCTCGAGTGGGCCCTAGACATGCGCTTGTTCCTTGCATCGAAAGAACTCGATGCGTGTATTACCGACGGTAACACCGCATCCCGTAAGGGACAGTCTCAGGCGATATGTCACATACGCCATCATCTGGCCCCGAGCCTTAAGCAGCAATATCTCACTCTTGAGAATCCACTTGAATTGTGGCAAGCGCTGAAAAAGCGATATGACCATCAGAAAATGGTCCAGTTGCCTCAGGCAGATTTCGACTGGAAGAACCTTCGGTTCCAGGACTACAAATCCGTAGATGATTACAACAACGAACTCTTTCGTATTGTTGCCATCCGGAAACTCTGTGGCGAGGATGTGACAGATAATGATCTCCTCGAGAAAACATTATCCACATTCAGCACAGAGAATGTTGTGCTCCAACAACAATACCGTGCAATGAAACACACATTGTACGAAGACTTGTTGTCCTGTCTTCTCCTCGCTGATAAGAATAACCAGCTGCTTATGAGGAACAGCGCTATGAGGCCCCCGGGATCGGCTCCTGTCCCAGCTTCTCGTCAAGAGTCCTACCATGTTCAACCCGATAGATCCTCAGATCACCGCCGTGGACGTGGTAATGGACGTGGTAATGGCCGAGGACATGGACGTGGAAGACGTGGACGCGGACATGGTCGTGGCAACCGACCTAACCTCAGTTATGGTCCTGGTCGTGGTCGAGGCATCACCAAGCCGACCCGCCACACCAACCCCGATCACTCTGCTTGTACCAGATGTGGGATGTTCAACCACCCAACAAAGCAATGTCGCACCCCCAAGATCCACTGCGATCTATACCAGAAGTACGGAAAAGCTCCTGCTGAAGCCAACATGACTCAGCCAGTCGATGCTGCTAACCTGGAAGGTGACGACCTCCTTGATGATGAGAACACCACAAACGAGCAGACCGACCCCATGGACTATGAAACAGCTGATCTCCTCGATTAATTCAATCATCTGAAACTCTGATACAATTTGATTTTGTTCTTTATTTTTTCATTTTGGGATTTGTTTCATTTTTTTTTTCCATTTGCCTTTATTCTCAGACAATGCTTTACTTTATGATTTATCACATTATCTGAATTCCTCAATACTGGATTCTATCTTCTATTCATAATGAAGCACACCAGCAAATGGAAACCATAGTCGTAGATAGTGGATCCAGCCACACTATCTTAAGAAATAAAAGTTACTTCATAAACCTAACCTATCAAACCACAAATATTAGCACCATCGCGGGTCCCTCAAACCTTATCGAAGGATATGGCCATGCCTATGTGTTGCTATCAAATGGCACACAACTTGAAATACCAGATGCTCTATATTCTCCTAGTTCGAAGAGAAATCTTCTGAGCTTCAAGGATATAAGACAGAATGGTTTCCACATAGAAACCCAAGGTCAAGGGAACAAAGAATCCCTCCTAGTCACTAAAACCGTAGACGGCCATAAACAAATCCTCGAAACCATATCCGCGCTCTCTACTGGACTTTACCATGCTAAAGTCAGTATGATTGAAGCTAATACCACTCTCAAAGCCCGGTTTACTGATTATACTATTTGGCACGACCGGCTCGGTCATCCCGGTGCAAATATGATGCGTAAACTAATTCAAAACTCTCAAGGGCATACCCTCAAAGAAAACCGAGCTTATCCTCAACACCTCATGTGCACAGCTTGTTCTCAAGGCAAATTGATCACTCGGCCTTCACCAGTTAAAATCTCTAAACAAACACTTTATTTCCTAGAAAGAATCCAGGGCGATATCTGTGGACCTATACATCCATCTTCTGGACCATTCCGGTACTTCATGGTCCTTATAGACGCATCGACCCGTTGGTCATATGTTTGTCTCTTGTCCTCTCGGAACCAAGACTTCGCTAGGTTCTTGGCCCAAATCATAAAATTGCGGGCCCATTTCCCTGACTTCCCACTAAAGACTATCCGCCGTGACAATGCTGGTGAATTTACCTCACAAGCGTTTAATGACTATTGTAAGGCCATGGGGGTAACCGTGGAACATCCTGTAGCACATGTCCATACTCAAAATGGATTGGCTGAATCATTCATTAAACGCATTCAATGGATAGCCCGACCATTACTCATGAGATCAAAGCTCCCGGCCTCAGCATGGGGACATGCAGTATTACATGCTGCTGAACTCATACGCATCCGGCCATCTAGTGAACACAAATATTCCCCATCCCAACTACTCTTGGGTCATGAGCCAGACATCTCCCATCTCAAAACATTTGGGTGTTCAGTATATGTACCCATTGCTCCACCACATCGAACCAAAATGGGACCTCAAAGAAGGATGGGAATATATGTTGGTTTTGACTCTCCCACCATCATAAGATATCTCGAGCCAACCACTGGAGATCTCTTCAAGGCCAGATATGCGGATTGCCAATTCGATGAATCGGTATATCCCTCTTTAGGTGGTGAGACAAACAAGCTGGTCAAAGATCTTTCATGGAATCAAACATCATTAAATTGGCAAGATCCTCGGACTCTAGAATGTGATTCAGAGATCCAAAAGATTATTCATTATCAAAAGCTAGCTAATCAATTGCCAGATTCCTTTGCTGACCCGACCAAAGTAACCAAATCGTACATCCCAACTTGTAATGCACCAGTACGAATAGCTGTCCCAACGGGACAGACCCAAGTTGCTACAGAGTCTGCATCACGTCTCAAACGGGGCAGACCTCTCGGTTCCAAAGATAAGAATCCCTGGAAATCAAAGAAAGGTGCAATAACCAAAACCGGGATTCCTGCAATATCAGACATAGCCGCGGCTGAGACTCAATCTAATGAACCCTCAATGGAAGTTCGGGACGCCGAATCTCCAGGTTCAGAAGATAACAATGAGATCTCCAT